AAAATAAAAATAAAAGAGACAGCTACCGTGGCAGCAAGTGATTTTCACATTTTCATAAAAATTATCTACTCAGGGGCCAGAGAAAGGGCTCAGTGGTTAATAGGCTGACCGCTCTTCCAGAGGACCTGTATTGAATTCCCAGCACCCACATGGGCATCAGGCACGCATGCGGTTCCCAGACATATACACAGGCAAAACACACATTCACACTGAAAATAATAAGAGTTTATAAAAACAAAGACGATTCAGCTAGCACATGAACTAACAGTTCAACTGGGAGATATTTATGCTACAAAAAAAAAGAAAACTTGTATTAATATAAAGCTTACACATACATTTATAGCTAGTCATAATACATAAAACATTCATAATGACAGAGCTGGTCTGATGTCCCTCAGCAGAGAAATAATCCAGGGTAAATCCACACTACGGAACCATGCTCACATCACAAAGAAAATGTTGGTTGATTCAATAGACCTACTGGGGTGAGTCTCCCAAGAAGTGGAATTTAAAATGTCAGCCAAGAAGACTCATGCTACATAGTTTCAATTATATGACATTGTGGAAAATGGCTGAAACCATAACATATTCCTCACTAAAACATGCCTTGTGATTCCTGAGTCATCAGAAAGATTGGCTGGGACCTAGAAGCCTTCTTCACCTCCAAGTCTTTACTGATACTAAATTTTAAAAGGAATAAATCTCTCACATTTCTTGGGTTATATCCCTAATTTCTAGAACTATTTTTATTTGTCAACGCTCAGTATTTCTGTTGTATTGTAAAATCACCGACACAAAGCACACATTCCGAAGTGAAAGCAGGGATCAGCTCATCTTAGCCCAGGCGAAGTGGGTTCGTCTCTCAGCTTTGAGCGTCTAGTGGCACTTACAGTAAACACTTAAAAATTTGTACTTTGGGTTGGCCCAAGTGGGAATTAATACTCTTTCAAGTTTATTTAAAGACTCGGTTCAGTTCTAGAAGACTCCCTAGAAAACAAGTAGGGGTGTTATGCATGCACAGCCTAAACAGGAAATCTGGTTTTGCCTTCTACCACTCACATGAAAAGAATGTCATAACTCCGCAACCTACGGGAACTCAGTCTGAGCAGCTCAGTGACTAACTTCTTAAGGTGCTGCCAGAAGCAACAGCCTCGGCTATTTAGCCTCGGTGTTTAGAAGTCGGGTTATTTGGAGAGCGATGCTCGCTGGCTAATGTTTTTTGTGTCAATCAAAAGACAACCGGTTAAAATCGGCATGTTGATGCATATACCTGAATTACAGGAAACTACACTGGTATCAGCTGGCAGATGAGTCTTCATTCTTCCTTGTTCTTTTTGCTCCTGTCACTCTCCCTTGCCTCTCTTCCCTTCCCCCCACTTTGTATCTGTTACAGGTAGCCCAAACTGGCTTAGACCTTGTTGTGTAGCCAGTAGAGGCTAGTATCAAATCTCTGATATTCCTTCCTTCACTCCCTAAGTACTGGGATTTCAAGCATGGATTACAGCCCGTCTGAGAGTTTCCTTCTACATCCCCTTGTCATTAAAGGCAATGTAAGACATAAGAAAGAAAACCAAAAATGGCTGAGGATGAGGTAAGGTTAATTATGAAACATTCTGTGGTGTATTTTGCAAAGAGGATACCCAGTGCATTTGTCTGCAGTGGATTCCGAATTCCCCATGCTCACTCCCTTCTTTATACAGCTCTGCCCTCTACTGGAAGCAGTAATTCAGCGAATGTCTTATAAATGTGGGACCTGACATCCAAGCCACTCCTAATCCAGCCACAGCCATCAGAACTCTGTGTGGTGACATTTTAGATGGCCCATCAAAACAGATTCTTTCTAGAAAACTTGACTTTCTAGACGTCTTCTAAATAAGGAATGGAAATAAAACCCAGTCACTTTGTGAGGGGGAAATAGGATCTGCTGGAGAGACCCGTCCTTAGAGTGGTGGGCAGCGATTTAAGTACCCAGTGGTCCCAAAGTGAATCCATCCCTGCACACTTCCTCTTCCTTTCCTACCTTCCATTTTTCTTATGAAACATAAAGTGTAGCTCAGGCTGGCCTTAAGTTCCCTGTAGTGGAAGATGGCCTTGAACTTCTGATCCTCCTGCCTCCTCTTCCAGACAGCTTTATGCGGTGCTGAAGACTGAGCTCTTGGCCCTGCGTGTGCTGCATAAGCAGGCTACCAACTGAGCTACATCCCGGCCCTATAATAAGTGATTTTTATATGTCAAATGTCAAGACATACATCCTCTGTAAGGAGGATGACACTCGTTTGGTTCGTTCATAATCTTTATGCCCAGACATGTAGTACGCTGGCAAAAAGCTGATCCCAGATCAATGCAAAATAGTCAAGTATTTATTGAGGAACTGCTATGAGGATGGAAGTAGGGAGGAAAACAAGGAGGTGATGCAGAAAGAAACTGCTGGCCAGTGCTGACCTAACAAACATACATCTTGTTGGGAGAAAAAGTCACCACTCTCTCCAGCAGCAAGGGCAGCTCCTGGGGTGGCTTCGTCACTGTCTACTGAAAGCCAAGATCAAATGCATTTCTTGGATGTAACAGTTACTTTTCCTCCCTGCAGTTTTTATTTCCGTCCATGAACTTTACTTTTCTGCCCAGGGAAGCAAAAACAATACAAACTCCAAAATATTGTGAGTGGGCTTTGTTTGTTTGTTTTTTGCTAAAACCATGCACCTGTTTCATGGGCCCAGTGTGAACTGGGTCACCTGGTTTTCATGATAGGTTTGTCTAAACACACTCACATTCAAAATGCTCTGCTTACAAAATTGGGGCATTTTCATCAAATGCTAACTGCCCGAGTGCTAACATCTTCAAGTTGTGGTGGTCTTAGTGGTCCCTGCTGTAGATGTTGTCATGGTCCTTGGTACGGTCGTGGGGCCGCCAGAACATGGCTTGCTGTTTTATCCTGCCCCCCCCCCGCCCCCGTGCCCATACCTGTAACAGGAGACCCCATTCCCACTGAGAAATACTGCACTATATTCAAAGGGAATGGTTATTCTTTTTTCCTTTTCTTTTTTATTTAAGACAAAATTTCTCTGTGTAGCCCTGGCTCTCCTGGACTCACTTTGGAGCCCAGGCTGGCCTCAGACTCACAGAGATCCACCTGCCTCTGCCTTCTAGAGTGCTGGGATTAAAGGTGTGTGCCACTGCAGCCAGCTAACAGTTTCTCTTTACCATTAACTGTTCCGAAAAATCATGTCTTTACCACGTTTCAATAACCTGCATGTTAGCTGGCCATATGACTTAAGAGGCCAGCTCCTCCCACTCAGCTGGCTCTGAGAACACTGACCAACACTCAGGGAGGACATTTCTTCAGTCTGAACCGGACTCAGATGCAGTCACAAAACCCTCTCTGTTCGTTTTCCAGTGTAAAGATGCAATGTGCAAGAGCTGGAGGATGGGGAGAAAGCCTGAGAAATGCTGTGCTCTGGACGTGATGTGCCTATCCCGTTCATGAACTTACAGCAGCTGGGAACACCTCCACAAGACCCCCAGGCTACCTCCCACCCCTCACTGAGTAGCTAAGGGCAGTTTACAGATGGTTGGGGGGCGGTGGTCTTTTCTAAGGATGCAGCTATGGACGGAACTCCCACGCCATCACAGTTCCACACTTGTGTACATATAAACAGCACTAACTGATCCTCTCGAGCTATAAAAATTAAAGATGAATAATAATAAAAAAACACAAAGTTGGGGTGGGAGTCTGTTGAAGATATGGGCAGAATTTACGTGGGGAAATAGAGGCTAAGTAGGATCATGTTTCATGAAATATGTAAAGTGCATAAGAGCCTCAATAATAAAGAAAAATTTTCTTCCAAAGAACATTTCAGAGCAATTCTAAAACTGAGGTAAGGGAAACCTCAAGCTTTTGTTCTCATTTGGCTATTCTCTTATGTTTTGCATTTAAACTTTTTTTTTTCAATAAAAATGAGTTTTCCGTCCCAAATATTTCCATAAAAGCTTCCTCAAATTAATGCTTTTTAAAAGAATACGAGCAACTAAAGTTCCTGTGGTAGATCACTGATCAATGGCCCAGCTAAAACAATAATTTACCATCAAATTTTAAGTAAAGGCGCTAAGTCACGTCCCAGTTTTAGAAGGCGCTCTGGTGTTGGGGATGACCAACAGCAGAGGGCACAGAAGGTTTCCTTTGGCTGTGAGATGGCAGTGCACTGTCCCTGGAAGCTGGGGGTGGGGGTGGGGGAGGCGGTCGAGAAGAGAAGACCGGCTGGGCGGGGACAAACCTGGCAGCATCTACGTGAATTCTCCTCAGATCACCCATCCTCATCATGAAAACCAGCTGAACCTGGGACCAGAAAACCTCAGCGTTCCAGTCACACAAAAATGTTTTCTTTTCTTTTCTCTCTCTCTCTCTTTTTTTTTTTTTTTTTTGTTAGTTTGGTCAGAGTCCCAACTGTCTTGGACTCACTTTGTAGACCAGGCTGGCCTCGAAGTCAGAGATCTGCCTGCCTCTGCCTCCCTGAATGCTGGGATTACAGGCGTGTGCCACCATGCCTGGCACACAAAAATGTTTTCTATTATCACTTTTATAGGGAAAAAAAAAGAGGAGGTCAGGATGTAAAATAAAAATAAAATTAAAAAATTAATTTCTGAGCTGGGCATGGTGGCACAGATCTGTAATCCCAGCACTTGTGGGAAGACAGAAGGGGGAGGAAAGGCAGGTGGATCTCCGTGAGTTTGAGGCCAGCCCAGTCTACAAAGGAAGTCCAGGACAGCCAAGCTACACAGAGAGATGTCTCAAAAAATCAAACAACAAACAAGTTCTGCTGAGATGTGAACCGATGTCTACTTACTGATGAATAACCCACTCGATACTCCAAAATTAAAAATGCCGACCAGTGATCCAGAACTATGGAGACCGTCCGCCATGGTGCACAGCTTCTGTCAGCAGCAAATGTGAGGGAACCCTGGGTTCCACAGAAAGAGCCCTCAGGAATGAAAATTAGCAGACATCGCTGAAATCATCTTTATTCTGGTTGCAAAGATACAATGATTCACTTAATATTTCACTTGTCCCAGTTAAAAGATTCAGAACCTGCCACATTAAACAATGCCTTCACTAGCAAACTGCTATGTGAGTACATTATAAAACAAACAATAAACTAAGATGACCCATTTACAGCATTCAGGTTAGTGCATTGAAACATTAATTCATTGATTTAAAAAAAAAACAACAGGTAAGTAAGTTCACTGGCAGATAGCCTATTCTAAGAAAGGATGGTTAAAAAAAAATGGCATGCTAAATAAACTCTGAAATTTAGGTGTCAAAAATTAAGTATAAAAATTAAATCCCAAATCTGTAACTGTGGGAACATTACTTTGTGAAGAGAAGATCCAAAGATACATGTCTAATCAATGTTCTGTAGAAAAAACTGGGAAAGTAAATAATGGCCCACAAAACCAGACAGTATGGTGAAAACTGTTCAGCGCAGTAAGAAATTGGAATCTTTAGCATCTAACAGAATAGATATCCGTGTGGGTTTTTCAGAGACTTCCTCCAACTTACATGGACCATTACAATAACGATACTCTCCTTAGCACACAGCGAATTAAATAGACCGTGTGTAAATACAGACTATCTTTACTATCTACAGAAAATGCATAGATACACATCGGGAAATGACTCACTGATTTAGTCATTGCAATCCAATAACGAAAGATCAGTAATGATCTGCACTGCTGTGAACTACTGGCTATAAAATGTCCCACAAACAGTTATGTTAAGACGTTGATATTGAGAATATTTGCTGGACAAATCAAATTTAAACTTTTTTTAAATAAGATAGCACAATCATGTTATACATGTTACACAGTGACTGAGGTGCAGAGACAGAGCACAGACGCCAATCAAATAATTCCCCAAACTCAGTCAAACAATATAAATAAATTATAAATGAAAGGCATATACAATGTGAGCAAAATCCAACAGTCATTGAACTGAAAAGCATGGAAGTTATACCAGCAAGGGTATTTAGAAAAAGCTCCAGTATTAGAAAATATCAGGTTGAATCCAAAGGAACCTCCCTCACCCCACCCCCACCAGTAAAAATGACAAACTGTGGAACCATCCTTTACACGACAGCCTTAAAATAATAATTGACACTGATGACGAGGATCTGCCTACGAGACTTAGACAACGTCATGCAGAAGGTCCAGTCCTTCCCGGCTCAGCCTTTCAGCCCCCATACGATGAGACAGATAACCACAATTCCCACAACGAGGATAAAAATGATGATGCAAAGGGTTTTTCTGGATTTGCGCTGCAGAAGCAAGAACAAGACGTAGTGTGAGTGAGATTCAGCGACATGACAGCCCAAAGTAGCTCAGTTTCACTTGAGTAACAGTTTGCAGACCTCATATTCAGGGCTCAGATTTTCTTCTCAAAAACCTCTACAACATGCATAGTGTTGTTCTTTTTCAAAAAAATTTTTTTGTATGTGAAATAATGTTATAATTCAAGGAGCAATTTTTTTTTTAAAAAAATGCAGGCAGTTTTCCTGGGAGTATGTTTGAACTTAAGAAGGAAGACACCATGGCTGGAGAGACGGCTTGGTGTTCAGGGCCCTGACTACTCTTCCAGAGGACCCAGGCTCAATTCCTCATACCCACATGGCAGCTCACAACTGTCTGGAACTCAGGCATGTGGTACACAGACATACACAGGCAAAACACCAATACACATTGTTGGAGCATCGTCCAAGAATGAAGTCATGTGAGGGGAATTCTGAGTGCTTGTGAGAAAATTCCAAGAAAGTAAGAGTCTTGTGACCTCAGTTTCTCAAGAACACAGAAGTGTTCTTGGAATATGTTTTCTTGCCCCTCCCAAGTGCAACGGAGAGGAGTGAGTTTACCTTAGATCATTCATCACAACTGGCTATTGTTATGTGTTGTATGCCTTAATGGAAAAACTTGTGCCATGTGTGGCTAATCCCTGTGAATGTACATTTTACTCATGTGACTCTACTGAACCCTTGGAGAATAAATTGTCTGATTTCCTGAATAAAGCTGGCTATTGTGTGAGACTTTAGTCTGTCTTATTTTTAGTCTGTCAGGTTCAGCTGACTTTAGAGCAGTGACAGAAAATAAATAAACCTTTTTAAAGAAGAATCTGTTCAGAATATAGCGTTCGGTGGCAAAGTATTTGCTTGGCCATATGCAAGATCCTGGGTTAGATTCCCTGTTCTCTCTTAATCCCCAATAATGAAAAAGAAGACAGGAAGAACTAAAAGCTGCCAGCTTAAGTGTTAAACTGGAAAATATTGCAAAGAAGAATCCCAAAGACGCCAGAGTTACAGGTGGCTTACCGGATGAAAAATGGTGCTAACATGAACCTTTCAGGTTAAAAGGAAACTAAAAAGCAGTTGAGAAATACCTCAGAAGTCACAATATTGTGCACCTTTACAAGCTCCAAAAAGGTGGTAACTATGAACAACAAAAAGTGATGTTTCAGGCGGGGATTCAGATGATGTGCTGTGGACGATGTTCAGAACCTCCGGAAGAGTGTGGCCTTACTCTTACTGAACAAAGGCCTACCTGTTGTACAACAGTTCGTAATTAAACACTGTTTGAAGCGTTATTTATACTTCACAGACACAGATGGTCTCCCCGCGTTAATGAGATTCCCTTGAGGAATAAACTGGTGTGGACTGAAGGGTCTGCTACAGGTTGACATACCGTGTAATGACTAACAGCACTCCCGGCTAATACAGTTTCCAGGGACTTTGAAGAGACCTTTCTAGTACGAGGACCTTTGTCACTTCAGCAAGACTTGTCACTGACAACAAGAAAGAAGAAGGTCTGGGCGGTGGTCATGCCCCCCCCCCCCCCCCGCCCTGTATTCTCAGCACTTGAGAGACAGGGCCAGGTGGATTTCTGAGTTTGAGGCTGGCCTGGTCTACGTGGTGAGTTCCAGGACAGCCAGGCTTGCGAGAGACTTGTCTTGAAAAACCAAAAACCAAAACCAAATAAAAAGAAACAGAACAGAATGGGGAGAAACAAAAGGGAAAAAGCTACCAAAGAGGTCCCTCCGTGTGTTGGGCTGTCACGGTCACACCAGAGACCATCACTGAGTAGAGGGCAGTGCTTCACAGCAAGCGCTAGAAAAAACTAGAATTGCTAAACGTGCAGATTGTTTTCTTCAGCAGGAGAAACTGATACTGTTTTCCACGCAGAAGGCTGTGGATGGCTGTATTCATACCTGGTAGTCTTTACTGTTCTGTAAATAGAGCCCTCGTCAACCCCCCAGAATCCAAGCATTGTTCATCTTCATGCTTACTAAAACCCTTCCTCCCTAGGTCCTTGTCCTGAGCTCTGTTTCTGTGTCCATAGAACCGGCTCTGTGCGATGGCCACAGATGCTTGCCTCAAAGAGATGTACGTCAGTGCAGCCATGCTCGAAGCGTTGCTATGATAACTCACCTGCAGCCGCTTCAAAGTGATCATGTGTGCATACTGTAAGGCAAAACTCCGAGTTACAGATACGGAAACATGCTGCGGTTCGTGTTACCTGGTAATCTGCCGCTCTTGACAGCTGCTGGTTTGCCTGCTGCACATGAACCTCCGCGCTCTCTACGTTGGCTTCTATGCTGTCTTTAAAACAAATGCACATACACACAGCACTGTCAAACACAGACTAATGACCTGATACTAAGTCACTAACCTGCACCCAACAGACACTTAAAGAAGTGACCCAACCAATATGCAAACATATAAACAGGGGACCTTAATCGCCTTCTCCAGTTCTACCCGGACACAACACCACAACTAAGTACTGTCATTTTGTAGCTATTGGATCAGTGCCAGAAAAAGCACCTGTCTGTCTCTAGCCTCAGAGCTTACTGTCTAAAGACCAGAGTGAAGAACAGATTGACCCCCTTCTGCCCAGTCCCAATTCATCATTGCATAGGGAAAACAATCACCTCAGCTTCCCAGAAACAATCCCCTCAGGAGCAAAGGAGGAGGCCAGATACCACACCTTGGTCCTTTGCATGTCTGCCTACTCAAACTGCTAATTCAGTGTTCCTCAGCTCTGTGTCTGTTTCCGTAAGCGCAACCCACCTCAAACTGTTCCCATGAGCACGGTGCCCTACCCTCTGTGCATAGTCCAGTGGCCAACTCCACAATGAAAATAACTTCAGTTTGTCTGTTCTCATCATCTACCTAACCGAGGCGAGGAACAGACCTCACCCAGGGCCTGTGGCGGCCCTCCCTTCCACTCTGCTCTAACCTGAGGGTCGGGCAGACACTGATTTGCAGGGTCTCCTCCCTACAGAGTCTCAATCTCTCTGTCCCGTCCTTCTAGCCCCCTTTGACGGCAGACATCCATAGCTTCTTCATTTCTTGACTATCTTGTCCTGTGACTCAGTGATGTTCTTTTCAATACTTACCCTTAGTGTCATAGCTGGCGAGTGCGTCATGCAAGAGTGGAGCCTTCTTACTATACCGTGGCCTCTCTATAAACCTACTGCACACTGTGTGTGTGTGTGTGTGTGTGTGTGTGTGTGTGTGTGTGTGTGTGCGCGCGCGCACATGCCTGGTACGCACATACTTGTGCACATGGGTGTGGAAGGTTGACATCACGTTTCTTCCTCAGATGTCTTCCTCACTACTTTTTCACATAGAGCCTCTCGCTGAATCTGGAGCTCATTAATTCCGCAAGAATAACAGGCTAGAGAGCTCCAGGAATAGCCCTGTTTCTGTCTCTTCAGTTCTAAAACCCAGACTAGGATAGCATGTGCCCACATTAAACCCAGCCTTTCCGTGTAGGCGCGAGGGATCTCAACTCAGGCCCTTGAGGCTTGTGAACCAGCCTGTCTCACTAACTGAGCCATCTCTGCAGCCCTACCGTACTCTAGGGGTGCCTGTGTGTTGTGTGCATATGTGAATGTGTGAATGTGTATGAGTGGGGTGTATGTGTGCGGTGTATGTGCGCAAGCGTTTGTGGGTACAAGCATCTGTGTGCCCAGAGGCTAAAGGGAAATGCCAGGTGTCCTGCTCCATCACTCTCTGCCTTCTTCCACCAAGGCGGGGTCTCTCACTGAAGCACAAGCTAGGCAGGGAGCAAACCTCAAAGATGCAGTCTGCACTCCACAGTTCTGGGGTCACAGACAGGTGTGGCCAGGCCCAGCTCTCTTTTCACAGGCATCTTATCTCAGATCCTCATGCATGGTGAAAGATCTCACCCACTGAACTCTCCCTCCAGCTCCCACACTCCATTACCCCCCCCTCCACAGTTACATCCAGACCTAAGACTTTAGTGCCAAGCGGCCCCTACCATCGAAAGGAGCTACATTAATCTATCAAAAACTATACGGTGATTGGTAGAACAAATGACCAAGCAAGTTAACCAACTGTTTCACATAAGACAAGACAGCATACACAATTACAAATATCATGAGTTCACCCAGTCCTCAGCATGAGGAACACTAGATCCGGATAAAACTGAAACTCATGGCCCGGACAGACGTTGGAATGCCACATGGGGCCTTATGAGCTCAGCATCAGGAAGGGAGGAATGCAGACAGAGGCAGGGGCAGCATATGGATGGTAGAGAGTATGCTTTTGATTCCAGAGGGGCCCAGCAGTTACTCTTGACTGAGAAAGCGGACGCAGGTGAACTACAATAACATGCTCCTGCCTCACAGTCCACACCAGCAAGACTTACCAATCACATCTCCTTGCTCGTGAATCATCATCCCCAAGTCTTTAAATATTTCATTAATGTCCATAATATCAGCCTAAGACAAAGGAGTACACGTTATTAGAAATTCATTCACCACTCCCACAAGTGGGGAAATTCAAAAGAAAAAAAATTTAACACCTATTCATACATTTATAAGCATGCATTTAGATGTAATTTATAAATTTTAGGATCATTGGAAAGATGTACTACTATAAGCCATCCTAACTACAGTCTCTGGATGGCCACTAGTTATCCAAGAGCCTGTGACATTTTCTGTATCATGGGAGGCAGGATGGACACCAAGGAAGGCATGGACTACAAGTTCAACCCAAGAATTTCTCTTGTCACAAGCAATATTTGCTTAGACAAATACAAATATTATTAAATTTCAATAAAAACTACCCATCAATTTAACAATTTCAGTGAACAAAACGTGTAAATTTAAAGCCTTACTTTAATAAATTTAACTATCCAACAGATCATAGTGAAAATACAAACATCATTAGTGGGTAAACATATTATAAATTTATAGGAGAAAGAAATGACAACTTTACTTTTTCTCAGTATATACCTATTTGGTTTTCCCAATTAAAAACTCTTTTTTTTTTTTTTTTTTTTTATTTAGGTGTATAAGGAAGTCTGCATATCCCTCATGGCCTTGACTTCCCTATGTGTAAAATGTCAATGATAACGACACAGAGAGTTTAAAGAGCTTTTATGAGGGCGGAATGAAAAATTAACAGTTATCACGGTGTCCTGGCACACGAGAGACCTGCAGTGAACTGCAGCGCTGTAACGATTAGTAGCCTACATTTCAGGGGCTAGAGCAGCTCCACAAGAACGACAACTTAGCAAATCCTTCATCTCCGTGATGCCACAGACACCCTAAAAAAAACGACAGTGCTTTTAACACTGTTGTAAAAGTCTACTCATGGAGGGACGGTGCACTTGCTGCCGGATGCTACCTCGGCTCTCCGGACAGAGGTTTGTTTCTAGGATGGTATTTTCTCAGTACTGCCGAGAACTGCGGATGATTTAACCACATGGAAGGAATATGGCTTCTCATCCTAGCGCCAACGGTGTCATTTCTTAAACAGGAGTCACTCCAAACTCGATACCAGAAATTTCACCAAACTGGCAGGCGTTCTTAGAGCTCTCCTCCCCACCATTCCCCAGGGGTGTGAACACAAACTCAAAGACCAGGGCAGTGGCCAGGCATGGCCACTCGAGCCTTACTTCCAGCTGCCTGATTGAAGACTCTCGCTCCTGAATAAGGCGGAGGTCGTCCTCTGTGATTTCCTCATCTTGAACTTGCACTTGGGGCTGTGTTTGGCTATCAAAATAAATACAGAAAGAAGACTTATTTATCACTTAAGACGCTCTTCCTGGACAGGATATTTTGATCCTCAAGATCAGAACGCTGCTCATGTTCCAAAGTGCTGAAGTAAGCAGGCATGGTGGTACCTGCCTGTAGTCCCAGGGTTCACCAGCGGAGGCAAGAGGACCTGGAATTCAAGGTCAGCTGGCTACACAGTGACCCCAGGCTAGCCTGGACAACACAGACAGCTCCTGTCTCAGCAAATAAATAAAACGTTCTAGGATATTTTGTCCAAATTGTATCCCATTTTCATTCCACTCATTATATCATCATATATAGGTTTAGACTTACTTATTAAAAGTTATACCTGGTAACTGCACATAAGAATATTTTACTCTTAAAATTAAGTAAATAAGTTTATTTGGGTGATCTATTTACATATTACAAATAAATACTTTATAAATATTTGATTTTTCTGAAATCTACTATTTCAGTTTATAAATAATAGGCTATTTGTGCTACAATACAATAAAAGCTTTCAGGCTGCTTCATGGAGTATAACATACAAAACTTCAAAAATTATCTTTTGATTTAAAAAATGTTTTTCTTATTTCTTACCTTTCCCAGGATACAAGATTCTTTTCTTTTGAGCCGTCTTCAGGAAAACCACCCTGAATAATTTAGTTAGAGGATAGAAAGGAAGCAAGAATAAGGAAAAGTTAGCAACACTCATAGTGTCCCTTAAGATGGTCTATCTGTGTTTTGTGTGGTTATGTGTTCATGTCTGTGTGCATACATGGGTGTGTGCACGAAGATGGGTGTGTGCATATTTTTGTGTGTACTAGTATGTGAGCATATGTATGGGTCTGTGCACACGTTGGGGGATACATGTATGGCAGCATATGTATGGCTGTGTACATACATTTGTGTTTGTGGATGTGAGCATAGTATGGGTGAGTGCATGTGCAGTGGACGAGGGGACAGCTGACCTCTTGTTCTAATTTTCTAGGTCAACTGCTTAAGTGATGACAAAGTAAGATCTTAAGCTGACAAGGAGGGAATTTGCTATTTACAAATAATAAGTACCATTTAGCTAATATTCAATGTCACTGTGAGACCTCTACATTAAAGAGTGAAACATCAGCTAATGGTGGCTCCTGAGAGAATTTAAAGCTAGATTAACTCAAAGGTTCACTTTGGATCACCCTCTCATTTATCTTTTCCAGGCTCATATTCATTCTCAGAATCCTTGGCACACTCACTGAGTTCATCTCCGTGCTGGCGCACACCTAGCACCAAGCCTTAACCAGACCTCTAACCTTTTCTTTTTTCACAAAACAGGCTCTCCTATTTTTATGTAGTCTGTACTCTGCTCTTGCTCCATGAGGAGTAACTGCAACAATACACAAGGTGATACTTCTTCAAACCTGAGGAGAGACCCCTTAAAATATTCACAGACGTGAGAGTGCCTCGGACCTCCACACCCTTACACAGCAGGACGATGTGAATGCCAGGCTTTCGCACAACACCTACCGACACTCTGGAACTCGCTCGCACTCGAGCAACGAACTCCTTCTCTCTCTCGGCAGCCTGCCTCTGGGCCTTCTGAAAGTTTGTCAGCGATGTGGTGAACTCCGCCACTAATCGGTCTTTCTGTATCTTTCTTTGACGCTGGAAAGATGAGAGAAAACAGCCTGCTGAATCAAACTGTGAAGGTTGCCGAGATTTACAGCAGTTGCTCCACTACTGCTTGGCTCGTTATTTGATCCTAAAATTGTCACTCACTCCAGTTACAGAAACTCTCTGATGGACTCTGAGGCACATTTCCAGTGGGGTTCAAACACTTGCACTCTGATCTTGAGGCAAAAGGCCAACCCTGCAGGGCTTCCCACCTTAGACTTTTATAGCCACTGATAAGTGAGTCATGGGGTTAAGGTTAATTTTAAAGTAATCCGGCTTTTAGGCAAATAAAACCTATACCCTTATGTGTATAATAACTTGCAGTAAGTAAGCAAGGAGCTAACTGTGCCCCCAGGCACATCTTCTGAGTGTGCACGCTCGGGGGGTGGCGGGTGTTAGTCCTGCAAAGCCAAGAAGCAATTGCCCAGGAGGCATTTTCTCAGCATGCACTTAATTATGAGCCAAGGCAGCTACATGGAAATAATTTCTGCTTTATGGAACCGCATGATACTGCCTGAACAACTAACTACAGTTTTGTATTCTGGTAACTAATCTCAGATACATTTTTTTTTTTTTTTTGGCAGTCTAACTTCCTCTGTAGCATCGAAGTTCAAATATCCAGCCGTGCATTTAATGTCTTTCACATTCAATGCATCTGAAAGTCCGGTACCTGTTCACTGGGCGTGGTGGGCAGAGATCCAAACTCTTTAATGTACTTATCTGTTTCTTTCGCAAGTTGGTTAGTATACTGTTGCTTCTGCTGCCTACAGTGAAAAGATAGAGAGATGATAAATAAATAAATAAATAAATGAATAAATAAATAAATAAATGAATAGATAAATAAATAAATAAATAAATATCAGAAAGCAGAGCCACGTTATAGCCAAAGAAAACCTCTACCACTTGCGTGAACCCTGGTAAATCGCTGCAGAAAAATTAGTTTTTGTCAAAGTGTTTATTCAGACTACAATCTGTGAAAGTTCTCATAGTTCTCTGGACTGGCTGTCAATTTCTTCAGCCAACCAAATCTTTACTTTTATTTTTTGATAAACACTAATAAATATGACATAGAAGGGTCTTCATTCACCCAGAGTAACCAAGTTTAGAGAAATAAATATGAATTGTTGTTACCTACAAGTAAATGTCATTGTCTGTAAATGAGAATGACACCAGTGAGAAGGGCGTGTGGTTGGGACGGTGCTGGCTGGCTGCCCCTTCAGATTTAGAGTCTGGAAGTGTGTGCAGCTCTTACCTGTGTCTCCCTGGGAGGGCATATGAGAAGGAAAGACTCTTTGTCTTTGTCCAGGTATGAGGTACATTTGTATGTCTTATTTATGTGAATACTTACGTTCCATAAACACTTACAAAGATGGAGGAGAAGGGGTGATAGTACACACTTACTAGTAGTTAAACTTGGTGTGGACAATCTAACAGGGCTTCCTTATAGATAGAACTGAATACAACAAAATGAGTAAATTATACCTATACCGCTATTCTCCTAGCTTTCTTATAAAGAAAAAGGTACAAATTTTAATGAAAAAAAAAAAAAAACAAAACAAAACACCTTGGTATTTAACAATGTCATCTTGCACTAGAGGGATGCTTAGAAACGATACTGGGTTTCTGCTGTACATCCTTACTGCACACAGGGACAGCCAGAGGGGCTCACACAACACAGTGCCCAGATGTGGATGCCTGCGCACAGCTGGCGAGGAAGAACCATAGCAATGCCCCTGCCTCGGTGTCTGAAGAGCTAGGCTTACAGTCGTGAGCCACATGCAGGCATTGCTTTGTTTTTGCACAGAAGCTAAGAAGCTGGTGCTGGCTTTCAGAAGTTTTCACTGTGTAAGTCAATCCACCTAAAGCTGGGTTTCTGGTTTTCTTTTGTTTTGTTTGAGGGGGATTGTTCATAGGACATATACTGTATCTAAATCAGTGAAAAGGGTGAGAAATGAGTCACATATATAAGACTCTCTGAGCCCAAATTTTCAAATGCCACCAAAACCCATTTTATTTTTTGTCTACGTTTTTTTTTTAATTTTTATTTTATTTTTATTAATTACAGTTTATTCACTTTGTAGCCCAGCTGTAACCCCCTCCTTCATCCCCTCCCAATTCCACCCTCCCTCCTTCCCTCTTCTTCTCCTAAGCCCCTCTCCAAGTCCAATGATAGGGGAGTCCTCTTCCCCTTCCTTCTGACTCTAGTCTATCAGGTTTCATCAGGACTGGCTTCTTTGTACTCCTCTGTGGCCTGGTAAGGCCGCTTCCCCCTCAGGTGGAGGTGACCAAAAAGCCAGCCCATGAGTTCATAAAACCCATTTTAAAACTAACAGGAATGTAAAATAAATAAATAGATAAATAAATAAATGAATAAATAAAAAATAAATAAATAAATAGAAAGTTTTCCCATGATAAAGTAAGCCTGCTCCTTAGATGGGGCTCATCCTTACTGGATGAGAAAAGTTACATACAAGCTTGGCTCTGGTACCAGGGAAACCTTTTAATTTTCCATCAAATTTTCCAATAAAAAAGCCACTACAAATGCAGCTTAAAATACATACTCTTTTCTCTGGCTTAAAAAGAAAAATCACTTACAGCTGTTGCCTCAATTCCGGTGAATCTTGAGGTGTTCCCAGTTGACTCAGAGCTCTCTGTATTTCCACCGCTATCATGATAGGAAATTAATGAATAATTGTTACAAACGTTACAGCCACAGAAAATTACTACCTTAGAAACAATAAGGCAATTAAATGACTGAAAGAAAGAAAAACAAAAGCCATAATAATAGATAACAATAATTGAAAAAAAAAAAGAGAGAGAGTAAATGTCTTATTTGTATCTAATCAGTAACAGCAACAGACTGATCTCCTAAGATTGAATGGGAACGTTGACCTTTGAGACTATGATCATGACCCAGAATGGTAATCTCTTTCCCATACTACCAGGACTGTACAGAGAGTAGGACATGTGTGTTTTACTACTGGCATAAAAATTATGGAATGCTAAATTACTGTGGCAATTACATATTTTGCTATAACAGAAGGCAAGGATGACAGCTTTAAATTAGAAATGTCTAACAAAATTAGAAAAATTATTTCCATTCATACAGATAAGGGTAATTAAAGTACGCTAAAATCACAAGACATTTATACAGCCTCTCCTATCCCCGAGAGACAGTGGTTAAGACCAAAGTCAGCACCAACACGAGACAAAATGGCATTATGAACCACATGGCAAGCTGTGACGGGAAGTCACAGCAGTCCTTGACATGTTTTTCTTTCCAGAAATGCTAACCCAAGTTTAAATCATGAGGAAGAAACTGGACCAATCTAGACAATGGGACAATCTACAAGACACCTGGTCTGGACCTGTAAAAATGTCAGTGATGATGGGATTTCGTGTGTAATGAGACCTTTCACAGTCCAGTCCTGTGAGACCCAAGGACCTAGGTGTCCAGGCATTTGAGGTCACCAAAGATTGTCCCTTGCCTTATTCCAGTGAAGATTAAAGATACGGACGCTCCTGGGAGTATGGGAAGTGGAAACTCTCTTTATTAAAGAGAAATCAGAAAATTAAGAAATTAAGGAAACATGAGAGGAAGACACCTTGGAATATCAATGTCCAGAGTTTCTACAGGGCTGTGGCGGAAACTACACAAAGGCTGGGCTAACTGTTAAGACTGGCCTCTTCTCTAGGCCATCAACAGCCACTGGAGGGCCCGAACTGAGTTGGTGACCATGCCCTGTCCATGGGCTACCCACCAAGTTAGGGGATGCTGAAGTCCCCTCTGCCCATCTCTGATTTATGCTTTGCTGGCTGTTGACCTTGATGGGCTGTGAGCTGTTAGTCCTGGCCAGTATTACCATTGATGATCTGGCATGTGTCTTGCTGGCTGCTAATTACACTATTTTCTCTCTGAGCACACATCTGCATGATCAACTTGTAGCTTTACCATAGTGACCAAACTCTATCCCAGCCACCCAGATAATGGTTCAGTCTTCCGTGGTTATGTCCTAGTTAGCTCTTTGTCTCTGGGCGGTCTGCAGTGGTCCTATGGGAGGAGCCTGTTGTTCGAAGCCACCCTTACTTACAACTCAGCCTTTCAGAAGCCACTGCATGAGGATGAAGAATATGTAAAAGGACAAAAGTGTCTTCTTTGCATTCCCCAAAGGGTCACGGGGCCAGCTGGCATGCCCTAACTGGCAGAGAGCCATGTTTTAACTATTTGCCTCCTTCCCTGTCCATTTTCTCCACTGATGAATACAGGGTGTGCTGTCTACAGGTTACATGCAGAGTCTGGTCTATAGTCTGAGGAATGCTGTCCTTCAGTCCCAGTGGAAGGGAGATATGTCCAACCAGAAATGACTCATTGGAAACTGCACTGGGCAGAAGAGATCTTACCTCAACTCCCCTGTGAAAAAAGTAAATCTGTTCAAGTTGTATGAAAGACAGAAGCAGTATGCCACATTGGGGCTTTTCTTCTTTTTAAAGCTTATGTAGTTAAACAAAGAAAGAAAGCATGCTTATTGTAGGAAACAAAACAGATGAAGCATCAAAAGTCTTACTATAGTGGTATTGTTTTAGTTGGTCACGTCATGATTAATACAAAGCAGCACCAAAGGACCAATCTTTAAAGAGAAAAAAAAATCCTAACTGTTAAAGTAACACACTGTATAAAGACTCGTTCACCATGGCTTTCCATCAGATGAGTAATTCTTGTGAGTTTTATGATGGCTCTGGGAGCAGCCACAAAAAGAAAAACGAGAGTCTTGCACAAGCCAATTATATCAAAAGATTTTGGGCTGGAGAGCTGGCTCAGAGGTTAAGATCACTGGCTGTTCTTCCAAAGGTTCTGAGTTCAATTCCCAGCAACCACATGGTAGCTCACAACCATCTATAGTGAGAACTGGTGCCCTCTTCTGGCGTGCCGACACATGCAGGCAGAACACAATAAATAATAAATAAATAAATCTAAAAAAAAAGGGGGGGTTTCTATGGACAGATAAGTTTATCACAAACCAAATATTTTGGTGAACACCCCCTTCCACTTAAGAAGGTCAATTCTTAAGAACTATGGCGTTGTCTGAGAGGATGTACTTAATTGATGAGAGTATGGATGCAGATGGAGGGGTGTCAAGGATACCCACAGCATTTAGCCCACAGAAGCAAAGAAGTTTATAGTAGAGACCCAGAGAGGAGACCCCAAAACAAATGCTTCAAGAGACCTTCAAACCAGAACCTAAAATATCTGTGCTCTTTTGGAGGAAAATGCCCAAACTGTCAGTGGTGTGACATACCTATTGATTTGGAATAACAAGAAATAGAAAAGCAACATCTAGTTTGGAGACTCACATGTCTAATCCTATACTTAGAAGCAGAGTGACATGACCAACTCACCTATAAGACATCACAAGTAGGAAGTAAACTTTTCACAGTCAAGAACCACAGCTACGCTTTATCCACTCCTGTATTTACATACTGTTGATACTTAATGGATACTTTTATAGCATAACTATTTGAAAAAGCATTGAAGAGATCAAAATTTATATAAGAAACTGCATGCATTTCTAAAAACAGAAAGCAAAAATAGGAGGTGAGTTTAAGATTGCTAAGTGCTCAATTGTAGTTAATTCACTTCTTCAATAAGTACAGGCTACCCACTATGGGTCAGACATAGTGGGGGATTATGGACATGGACAGCAATTCTGCAGTGTTCTCTGACTCAAATAAGTGCATACCCGAAGACCAACTAAATCATCAACCAGTGGGTAAAGGCCATGGAAACAGAAATCAGAAAGAAAAAAAAAATAGTAAGAAACTGAGTGAATCCCATTATACAAAGATGTTGATAGCTGACGTCCAAGAAGCTATATTTTTTTAGTAAAGCTGCTGGATTAAAATAAGGAAATCTGTACACTTAGAGAAACTAATCAAGAAGGAGCACTCTGGCTAAGATGCTCAATCCCCATTCAGAAAGGCGAAGAGGATGGAGATCAGAAGAGGGAGAAAATGGGGAACAGGACAGGAACCTACCACAGAGGCCTCTAAAAGACTCTATACTGCAGTATATCAAAGCAGATGCTGAGACTCATAGCCAAACCTTGGGCAGAATGCAGGGAATCCTATGAAAAAAAGGGGGAGATAGAAAGACCTGGAAGGGACTAGAACTCCACAAGGAGAGCAGCAGAACTAAGAAATCTGGGCCCAGAGGTCTTTTCTGAGGCTGATACTCCAACCAAGGACCATGCATGGAGATAACCTAGAACCCCTGCACAGATGTAGCCCATGGCAGTTCAGTGTCCAAGTGAGTTCCCTAGTAATGGGAACAGGGACTGCCTCTGCCATGAACTGATTGGCCTGCTCTTTGATCACCTCCCCCTCAGTGAGTGCAGCCTTACCAGGCCACAGAGGAAGACAATGCAGCCATTCCTAATGAGACCTGACAGACTAGGATCAGAAGGAAGGGGATGAAGACCTCAACTATCAGCAGACTGGGGGAGGGGCATGGGTGGAGAAGTGGGAGGATGGGATTGGGAGGGGAGCTACAGGTGGGATACAAAGTGAATAAACTGTAATTAATAAAAATTAAAATTAAAAAATTAAATCTAAAAAAAAAATTGTGACTACAAGGCCAATTGTGAGGAGAAGATCCTATTTAAAAATGACATCACCATTTTCTCTCCAAAGCAATCAATCTATAGTATGTGGCAAAAAGTATGGAACTTGTAATTGAATGTATAATAAAGACATATATAAGAACATAATATAGTTTAAAAAATAAAATAAAATAGGAATTTCCTGGTTTTCAAAACAATAGTTTTTTTCTGTGTGCTAGAATTACTGAAAAAGGTAATTTCATGGCCTGAGTGTGTGAACAACACAAAGGAGACAAAAGTTGAGCATGCCTAACTTGCAGAAGCAACAGAATGGAGCTGAGTGGAGGCTGCATGTACCCAGCGCTCCAAGTAAAGGGATGACAGGGCCACTCTGTGCAGATGAAACTGGACTGCTTCTGTTCCCTGAGGCGCTATGAGCTGAGAAAATTCTAGAGACGGTATTTCACAGGTCACTGTCACTACCTTCCGAGGTCATCAAATGGCCTGAAAAGCCATGGAGCTGCTTTGTACAGTTTTCCAAGCGAAGACGGGTATTAAATAAAACGGGCAAATACAAACAACAAAGTGAAGCAACTGTGGAAACTGTGCATTGCCTGTAGAGTCGAGAATGTTTGCTATTTGGTGCGCTAATGGCAAAACTGTCCTGAATTATTAAATATTACCAAATTCTGAATTCAAAAGCTCCACTCAGCCCTGAGAGAACTAAGAGCTTACGCTATTAATTCTGTTTGGCATAAATACTTAGCAGTGTTGCATATTTTCCACAGAGGATGCCTGGGCATTTAGCTGAGTTCCTGTACCTTTCAGAAAGTATGTTACTAGTGCTGGAAAGGACTATGAGAGTGACATAAATAAATTACTTTTTCCATCGTCTGCCACGCTGTACTGTCTGCACTATTACCCATTTCCAGGGAATATACTAAAGCTGTTTATAACAAAAAATATAACACTATCTCTAAAACATCCACCCCAAGCTGCTGTCTCATTAAAAACAGTTCCTGCTAAGAAGGAGTGTGTGCCGCCTTCCAGTGGATGAAAGAAAGAAAAA